CTCCCTCCCTCCCTCCCTCCCTCCCTCTCTCTCTCTCTCTCTCTCTCTCTCTTTCTTTTTCCCCTTCCCCTTCCCCTTCCTCCTTGCAAGGTTCTAACGATCAATATTTTTTTAGATTTAAATTTCCCTCTCCCTTTCTGCAACTCTACACAGGTCGTCTAGCACTCCCCCTTCCTGTTTTACCCAGTAATAACAACCTTGTGAGGTTGGTCCATCTGAGGGGGGAACTGGAAGTTATTTTGTGGAGGGGAGGGGAGCAGAGGCCACTTCTAGTCCAACGCTCTTCCCCCCAGACCCTCCGGCGTTTCCTAAAGCAATGTTTTTCAACCTTGGGTGAACTCTCAAGCTTCCTCCTTCCGTTTATATTCAAGATGGACAGTGTTTAATATTCATATGTTATGTATATGTAGGGGTGTGGGTCTATACATATGTTGTATATAGTATGTTTAGATGTGTGTCATGTTTGCGTTCACTTTGAGAGCGGGCAACTAAATTTCATTTTTGATGTGTGTCGTCGTGCCCACAGTAAAAAATGACAATAAAGGTTATCTTATCTTATCTTTAACATGCATGGACTTCAACTCCCAGAATTCCCCTGCCAACTGTGAATTCTGGGAGTTGAAGTCCACGCATGCTAAAGTTGCCAAGGTTGAAAGACACTGCTCTAGAGCAGGGGTGTCAAACTGCCGGCCCACGGGCCGGATGCGTCACCGGGAAACCGCGCCCACCCTATTGCCGGCAATGGGGAAAAAGCTCCGATACGTTGCGCAACGTCACGTCATGTTGCGAGTTTGACATGTCTGCTCTAGAAGGATCTCTTTTGGACCCAAATGCCACTTGACTCCCCTCATTTTTCCTCTCCAGCTTCTGGATATGAAAATATTTGTGGACACTGACTCGGACATCCGCCTGGTTCGACGTTTACAAAGGGACATCAGCGAACGAGGCCGAGAGATTGAGGGGGTCATCAAGCAGTATAACAAGTTTGTCAAGCCAGCCTTTGACCAATATATCCAGCCCACCATGCGAGTAGCCGATATTGTGGTCCCACGAGGTAGGGCTGGCTGGATTCCTGATCTGGGGGTCCCTTTGCTAGATCTCTTGCTCAAATTGCCCTGATTTTTCTCACGCTGAAAGTGTTTGGGATCCATTTCCAGCCAACTAGCAAAAAAAAAAAATGCTTGAAAGGATTTGGTCTGGGACATTAAGGTAGAGTGCCACTGAATCTGGAGGTTCTATTGCCCACGTTGCGCTGACAGCTGCCAACAGACCACTCCAGTCTGCCCTGCAATTTTTCAGATTAGCCGTGCCAAAATTTCAGGAATGTAATTTTTTTTATTTGTTTTATTTCTATACCAAATCAAATTATATTAAACAATGCTTGGAAGGACTTCCCATCCATTTTATTCCTTTGCTTCCAATAGAAGAGAATTTTTACTTCCTAAGGTTTGCATTCGTATGTTTACAAAAAACACATTTAGGATGTTTTTTGCTAAAAACCGCTATTGACTTCCCATTTTTGGCAAAAATCAGCCCTTGGTGAAAAATGGGTTCGTTTAACGACAGTGACGGTTGCTTGACGATCAACACTTTTGCTTAACAACCGCTTTGTAAAAAAAAGGTTGTCAAAGTTCATCAGGGGGCCTCATTTTACGGCCCTCATGACTGACGGCCATTATGGACAGGCTCCATTATGGACGTAAGTCGAAGAACAACTGAACAGGTAGTCCTTGACTTACGACCACAGCTGAGCCCCAAATTTCCACGGCTAAGCAAGTTTTAACAACCTCCCTTGCGTCCGTTGCTAAGTGAATCGCTGCAGTTGTTGAGTTAGTAAGACGGTTGTTAAGTGAATCTGGCTTCCCCATTGACTTTGCTTGTCAAACGGTCGTAAAAAAGGGTCACGTGAGCCGGGGACGCTGCAAACCGTCATAAATACGAGTCAGTTGCCAAGCACCTGAATTTGGATCACGTGACCGGGAGGCGGGGGGAGATGCTGCAATGCTTGTGTAAAAAATGGTCATAAGTCGCTTTTTTCAGTGCCATTGTAACTTAGAACGGTCACTAAGCAAACTGTTATATGTCGAGAACTACCTGTCATTTGGGGCTTGTTCGATCGGAAGTCGGTTTGAGAAAGTTGCAGCGCTTAAATTTCGACTCTGCCGCTTATATGGGATCTGTAGGCTGCTTGCGCCCTCTAGGGGATTTCCCAGGTCATTCTTCTTCTTCTTGTGCCATATCCATTATCGGATGTTGGCGATCATGTTGGCGATCCTGTTTTTATCAGCAGCCACACGAAAAAGTGCTGTTGAATTTTGTCCAAACCAGTCCCTTAGATGTTGAAGCCACGATGTTCTTCTTCTGCCTGGACCTCGTTTGCCTTCAATCTTTCCCTGGAGGATTAAATGGAGTATGCCGTGTTTTTCTGGGTGTCGCATCACATGTCCGAAATATTCTAATTTTCGTTTTTTAATTGTTTTGATGATTTCCCTTGGCTTTCCCAGGCTTATCACCTCCTCATTTCTGATCCTGTCAACCCAGCTTATACGTAACAGCCGCCTGTAAATCCACACTTCAAATGCTTCTAGTCTCTTCAGGTGACCTTCTGTCAGAGACCAACTCTCTACTCTACTCCATAGAGCAGGATAGGAAAAATATAGCATCTGATCTGGAAGTAAACTGACATTCACTTCTCTGAGCTTGGTAGTTTTCTTGCGCAGATATTTCGTTACCCAACTAGGTAGCGTCATCAGGGCAAGGAGGGAGTGGGGTTTGGTCTCAACCAAGAGCCCCGAGGACCCCTCATCTCAATCCTGAGCTACCAATATTGGCCTTAATCAGTGACATTTACTCTTTCTCTCTCTCCGTTTCTTTCAGGTAGTGGAAATACCGTCGCCATTGACTTGATCGTCCAGCACGTGCACAGCCAGCTGGAAGAGGTGAGACCTTATGAGTGTTCAGGGTAGCCCCTGCATTGGGTGGTATCGGGTTTTCTTCTTTGCTTCAAGGTCACCTTTTTGGGTCAGGTCTTGGCGTATTCAGGTCTTTTCCCGTGTAAGATTGAAAGTATCTTGGCAACGTTTCGACGAGGTCCCACTCATCATCTTCAGGCTGGGTTCTTCGGCTTCGTGCTTGTGCGAGCAAAGTGTGATCGGAGCTGCCGTCTGTCTATAAATATTGGTGGGGGATGTGGAGTGCTGGCTTAGTTGCTGTAGGTGGGTTGGTTGGCTGTGTTGGAGTTATTGTTTGCGGATTCTTTGGCTGTTTCGTAACATCCTGAATAGTTGAGGTGCTGGCTGTGTGCCCATTAGTCTTTTGTGTTATAACGACTTGAGTAATGGGTTGTGTGATTACATCCTGAGATCTAGTGTAGTGATATCCTGAGTTTTGTGTTGCAACATCCTGGGTGGTTGGCTGTGTTGTAACATCCTGAGCTTTAGTGTTGTAACCTCCTGATTTCTGTGATGTGATGTCCAGAGCAGAAGGCTGTGATGTAGCATACCACCAATATTTATAGAGAGACGGCAGCTCCAATCACACTTTGCTCGCACAAGCACGAAGCCGAAGACCCCAGCCTGAAGATGACAAGTGGGACCTCGTCGAAACGTTGAGCGAACCTGTGTCTGATCTTCTACAGATAGTCCTTGACTTACAACCATTCATTTAGTTACAAGGGCACTGAAAACATTGACTTAGGACCGTTTTTCACATTTACAACCCTTGTAGCATACATCGAAAACGTTTCAGAAGCTGTAGCACGCAGCTTCCGAGATCTGCAAGCGGGCATCGCACGCTGCCCGGAGGCTACCATATGAGAACAAATTATGCACTGTAAAGATCGCTTGGAGGTGGGAGACACTTCCAGCGGAATCTACCGGATGCCCTGCATGGATTGCCCCTCTGACTGTGTAGGACAAATAGGGAGGAAGCTAAACACCAGACTGCAAGAACACAAGCGAACGATCAGGCCTGAACTCATTGGTAGCCTCATATTGCAATGAACAAGGACACGCATTCAATTTCGCAGTTACTAAGATTGCTGGACGAGCAGGCACAAAAACAGCCAGGGAAATGATTGAAGCCTGGGAAGCGGGCCCTTCCTCACTCAACAGGAGTGCTGATGTACTGGGGGCTTATTAAGTACTTATGGAGGTGAGGGCTGAGCAGTACAAGCAAACAACAGCTAATGACTTAAAAGCCAGCCATCAACACACCTCAGTCAACATCTAAACAGGCACTATAAATACCACACACAGAATAGCTCAAAGTACACACTTTGCTAGAGAGAAGTTCCCTGACAGTGGTTAGGTTCTGCCTTATTTTACGACTTTCCTTGCCGCAGATGTTAAGTTAGGGACACAGGTTGTTAAGCGAATCCGGCTTCCTCATCAACTTGGCTTATCGGGAGGTCGCAAAAGGGGATCACGTGACCCTGGGGGGGGACACTGCAACGGTCATAAATACGAGTCAGTTGCCAAGGGTCCGGATTTGGATCACGTGACCACGGGGGATGCTGCAACGGTCGTAAATGTGAAAAATGGTCCTGCGTCGCTTTTTCAGTACAGTTGTACGTTCAAACGGTCACTAAAAAGGTTGTAAGTGTGGGACCACCTGTATACCTTACAACCGTTCATGGGGGTTGGAGTAGATGACCTCCAAGGTCCCTTCCAACTTTATTATTATTATCATCAACAATTAATAATTAACAGTTATTATTTATTATTATTATTATTTATTATTTTTATTGTTATTATTGTTATTGTTGTTATTATTATTATTATTATTATTATTATATGACTGTTCGAAGTTCAACGGCACTGAAAAAAGTGACTTGTGACCCTATTTCACACTTACGACCATCGCAGCATCCTCCCATGGTCACGTCATCAATCAAAATTCAGACCCTTGGCAACTGACTTGTATTTATGACGGTCGCTGTGCCCCCCCAGTGATCCCCTTTTGTCACCTTCCGACCGGCAAAGTCAATGCCAGATTCACTTTAACAGTCACGTCGCTAACTTAACAACTCCAGTGTTTCACTTAACAACTGCAGCAAGAAAAGTCGTAAAATGAGGCAAAACCCAACTTAAATTTCTCACATAGCGACATAAATTCTGGTCTCAGTGTGGTCGTAAGCTTAATGTGGTTGTTGCTTAAGTTGCATTCATCTCCAGGGGTCACTTTCAGACTAACAGCATGGGTCTGTCTGGCATGGGGTGTGTGTGTGTGGAGGGGAACTGGGTTGTGTTGCCTCCCACCCGGTGTCTTATCCAGGTTTGCTCAGCCAGGCTGGTCAGCCCCATCCATGGGGCCTCTTTGGCCCTTATTTTGAGGCCTAGTCCAAGCAGCTTCCATCAGGCCCTCAAAAAGCTCTGGAGAGCTAGTTTGTGAGTTCTAGTCTTGCCTTAGGTGCAAAAGCCAGCTGAGTGACTTTGGGCCAATCACCAGGAGATGGTGAGTTCTAGTTCACCTTAGGATGTGGGCTGCCAGGGTTACTTTGGGCCAATCAGCAGGAGGAAGTGAGTTCTAATCCCGCCTTAGGCATGATAGCCAGCTGGGTGACTGTTGGCCACTCACCAGGAGACGGTGAGTTCTAGTCCCGCCTTAGGCATGATACCTGGTTGAGTGACTTTGGGCCAATCACCAGGAGCCTGTGAGTTCTAGTCACGCCTTAGGCATAATACCTGGCTGAGTGACTTTGGCCAATCAATAGGAGATGGTGAGTTCTAGTTCACCTTAGGATGTCGGCTGCCAGGGTTACTTTGGGCCAATCAGCAGGAGGAAGTAAATTCTAATCCCGCCTTAGGCATGATAGCCAGCGGGGTGACTTTTGACCACTCACCAAGAGACGGTGAGTTCTAGTCCCGCCTTAGGCATGATACCTGGCTGAGTGACTTTGGACCAATCACCAAGAGCCTGTGAGTTCTAGTCTTGCCTTAGGTGCGAAAGCCGGCCGAGTGATTTTGGGCCAGTCACCAGGAGACGGTGAGTTCTAGTCCCGCCTTAGGCATGATAGCCAGCTGAGTGACTTTTGGCCACTCACCAGGAGACGGTGAGTTCTAGTCCCGCTGTAGGCCTGAAAGCTGGCTGGGTGACTTTGTCCCAATCGTCAGGAGGCGGTGAGTTCTAGTCCCACCTTAGGCATGAAAGCTGACTGGGTGACTTTGAGCCAGTCACCAGGAGACGGTGAGTTCTAGTCCCTCCTTACATAGACACAAAACCTGACTGAGTGACTGTGGGCCAATCCTTCTCTCTCAGCCTGACCCACCTCACTGGGTTTTTGTTATGTGCAAAATAGATGGAGGATAGTATGTTGGATATGTTCACCATCTTGAGTTATTTGTAAAAATAAATAATAAAGCCAGGATACAAACAACAAACCAATAAATAAACGGGAGGCATTCAAAACCACCAGTGAATAAAATAATTGCATTATTTTGCAAAACTGAGACTGGGAATCCTTTAAGAAAAAAGGCTTAAAACATGAATTTGCAAGGCAGTGAATATAGAAGATATATTCCTGGTTTATTTTGATTTTATTTATTTTTTTATTAATTGGCTTCCCGGCTTCCCGTTTCCCTGCTGGTGTTTTAATAATAACTGATTTCACTGTCTTTGTTGTGTTGTTCCTGCAGCGTGAACTCAGCGTCAGGTAAGGATGAGTGCCCGTTTCCTCCCTTGCCTTCTCTCCCCCCTTCTGCTTTAACCCCAAGGCATTTGAAGCACGACAGAGGCCAGATTAATGTCTTCCTGAGGGCCAAATTCCAGCAAACCGTAAAAAAAAGAAAAGAAACATTTCTCTGATGTTTCTGAGAATAAAAATGTCCTCAAAGCGTGGATCCATGTGGGCCATTTTAATTTAAAAACAAAACCCCAAGCATTTGGGTTAAGTTTGAGATTCGGCATTTTTTGTCTTTGCCTTGTTGTCTTAGGCCAGGGGTAGGCAACCTTGGCTCTTTTATGACTCATGGACTTCAACTCCCAGAATTCCTGAGCCAGCATGGCTCAGCTTGGAAACCTCTCCCTTTCCCCTCAGCGTGGCTGGCTCAGGAATTCTGGGAGTTGAAGTCCACACCTCTTAAAGTACCCAAGGCTGAGAAACAATAGGCTAGGCCAGGGGTAGGCAACCTTGGCTCTTTTATGACTCGTGGACTTCAACTCCCAGAATTCCTGAGCCAGCATGAGAGACCTATGGCCCCCTCGTGACTTGTGGACTTCAACTCCAAGAATTCCTGAGCCAGCATGGCTCAACTTGGAAACCTCTCTCCCTTTTCCCTCAGCATGGCTGGCTCAGGAATTCTGGTAGTTGAAGTCCACAAGTCATAAAAGAGCCAAGGTTGCCTACCCCTGTCTTAGGGGGGAAAAGTTAAGCAAAAAGAATAGGGTTTTTTCCCGGTTTAGTTTTAAATTTGAGGGGTCATCGAGGGGCCTTCTGGGATGGAGGCTCTTGTGGGCACCCGGTTGCCAACCTCCAGTTGAATTAAACAAAATGGAAGCTAACATTTTGAGGCTGAATTTGTAATCCCATATAACAACCCCCTTTGCAAAATGCGGGGAAGATCCTTCCAGGAGATGAAAACTAGCTTTAATAAGCAGGCTAAAAATTGCAGTTAAAAAATTGCACTTTTTCCTTTCTCATAATTTGTTCCTTACAGGTAGTCCTCGACTTATAACCACAGTTGGGAGTGCAATTTCTAGTGCTAAGCTTGTTGTTGTTGTTAGTTGCGAAGTCATGTCTGACCCATCGTGACCCCATGGACCACGTTCCTCCAGGCCTTCCTGTCCTCTACCATCTTCTGGAGTCCATTGAAGCTCACGCCTGCTGCTTCAGTGACTCCATCCAGCCACCTCATTCTCTGTCGTCCCCTTCTTCTCTTGCCCTCCATCTTTCCCAGCATCGGGCTCTTCTCCAGGGAGTCCTTCCTTCTCATTAGGTGGC